GTGGTTTGTGTTATAATATTATGGCTATAACTATAAGTAAAATTAGCGCGCTGCTCATTGAGAATTTTTGACTCACGGATGCAACATCTGTGAGTGTTTGTGATTACTTGAGTGTGAGGTGAGTGTGGGGCAGTTAAACAATGGGAAATGACCAGCCTGCTTTGCGCGCACTGTTGCGTTCGTACTTTCCACCCCACCAATGGGACTTGGATAGATTGAATCTTCACCGAATCTCTTGTCTTGCCAAATCATCGGCTTGCAGTCGTTCACTTTTACGTATCTTTCTGATCCATAACGCTGTCGCTTTAAACGCTCCTCTGTTGTCCGACACAATCAACTTTGGTCTGCTCTTTCTTGCGATGAAGGCGTTTAGCTTTACTTTGAATTCCTCTGCGGATTGTGTCTTCGTCAACTCCAGATGCACGGCTCTGGATATAGCACACGTAAATATTAGGATGTAGCACTTGCCTTCTTCTTTCTTGGTAAGCTTATATGTGAGGGGACCCGCGAAATCAACACCCGTTGTTACAAATGCTCGTCCGCTTTCGATTCGAAAGTAGGTAGTTTGGCAGTTGCTGTACGACCATATGGTTTGATTCGGTGCGCTTTACATACGTTGCATTCGTTAATGATCCTTTCAACTTTCGAGCGCAGTCTCGGAATCCACCAGTTCTCTCTTAGTGCGGCCATCGTGTTCGCGATACCAAAATGACGTGATCAATTTGTCCGTAAAGTCTCCTCCTTCCAAGTATATCGGCTGATACCCGGGAATTCGACCTTTACATTTCAGTAAACCAGAATCACCTTCTCGTATGACTTCCCATCCAGGTGCTCGTGCTTCGTGTCTTCCACCCATCGCACTTTCGACTGTTTTAGCTCGTTCGTCGTCAGCGGACCTTTCGCTAGGTTAGTTTTCTGGCTCTTGTATTGCTTACAAATCTGAACGCCCACGCAGTAACACGAATAGTCCCTCAGTAGCTTAATCTAGAAAGTGGCAAGTCCCATTCGTCCGGACCTTTTTCTTCCGTATTGAAAGCTACTTTCGTCATCGGCTTTTGCTCGTCCACGACAGTCTTTGTTCTCTCGAGCTTTGGTTGTTTTGGCCATTTGTCTGGGTTAACCAGCCACTCGGGACCATTAAACCAACCGTCCTTTTCCAGTTTGTCGATCGAAGCTCCCCGACTCCCTAAATCAGCTAATTTTTCCTCTGATGGACAGTACTTCCAACTGATGCCTACTTCTTCCGTAATTTCAGCAATCTTCCGCGTCCGATTTGATAAAAAGACTTTCCAGGATCTTTCTGGACTTGCAATCCAAAACAAAGCAACCAGGCTGTCCATCCACACTGTAACTGATGCAATTGGCCATATTCTCAATGCGGCAACCGAATTCTTAGCCATATTGGCAGCCATCTGACCGCTAACTAATACCAGCCTTGGAATGAAATTAAAGTGTTTCTCTTGGCAATTCTGGGCTTTGACGTAAGAAGACCTTTAACTATTCCACTTGAATGTTTGATTACTGCTATAGTGACCGCCGAGCACGCTGTGAAACTTGCATCAGCAAATAAATGCAAATGTATGGCTTTCACCTTTCGAATCACCCTTGCTAGACTTCTCGCGATTTTCACGTTTCTTAACTGTTGTCGCCATTTTATCCAATCTTTGGACTTGCTGGTAGATACTTCGGAATTCCAGCCGACTTTCTCATGACACGCTTCTCTATACCGTGCGCTTTCCTTCAACCATGGTCGGCGATATTATTCCCAAAGGGTCATATATGCTACTGACTTCCTTAAGAATATGTCTCTTTGTCACTGATGTTTCTTCCTTTGTAGGTTCTGCTCGAATCTCAAGTGTATCTTCTTTCTTATTCCATTTATGTCCGAGTATTTTGCTGGGATTTGACTCGTTATCAAGTTCTTCAACATTCGACTCCCACTTGTGGACTGGGAACTTCGCGTCTTCTAGGATTTTTGTCGCTTCGCGTTTGAAATCTTCAAGATCTGCAATATCACTTCCGGTCTTCATTAGATTATCAACATAAGTGTTCTCTTTTAACGACTCAATGGTGTTTTTGTACTCTTCTGGCTGCAGATTGAAGTGGTGTTGCAGGGTGGCACCAAGCATAAATGGGCTGGCTTCCACGCCGAAAGGCACACGGGTAAATCTTAAATGTTCTACTTGACCTTCGATGTCAAACAGAAACCGAAACGCATCTCGATCATCTTCCTTCAAACCAACCTGCAGAAACGTCTTTTCAATGACTCCGTCTTTCAACTGTTCATGAACAATTTTCTGATATTCATCTTTGAGCTGTTGATTCTGTTTCAACTTCCTGTTTACATTGTGGAGTCTCTTCCTACTGGGTTCTTCATTAGTGTTTGACAATACAGCTCCAGGTATCCACGGAGCAGCAACTTCGTATCTTCCATCCTCTTTCCTAGTGATGCTTTCTTGGAATTCTGTTGACTGATCTTTCTCCCCTCGATCATCCACTCCCACTGTTAATAGTTACTTATGTTGCATGCTAATTAGGTTTTATTATTATAATTATAAGGAACATGTTTGTGCTATATGCAAATTATCTCTAGGTATTATATAAGGACCTTGCTTGTAAATAGATTCTTTATGTTATTAAACTCATACACAACTTAACATGGTGGCAGCGGTGGGATAGTTTTGTGGGATAGTTGTCCAAGTAAAGTTTATAATGGCGGCTTCTTTAAACTTGCCGTGTCCCTTACTGAAGTCAACGGGAGACGATAAACGCGATATTGAAGTGTATGTAGAGGATTTAGCCGATTATTGTGTAATGAACAACTGGTATGACCCGTCAAAATCAACAGAGGATGCAAAATGGATTAAACCTGATAAAGCGATGGCTTGCTTGAGAGCATCTTTAACGAAGTCGGCAAGAACAGTTTTAAAATATAGTCTGGGTTTAACCGAGGAAAATCAAACAAAACCACATTGTGTTATTCAGGCTTTGAAAGAATATTATGGGGCTAGTATTGGCGTGTCGGGAGAGAGACAAAAGTTCCTTCGACTAATTCAACAAGACGATGAAGCCATTGGAGCATAGGAATCTAGAGTACGAAATCAAGCGGCCCAGTGTGAGTACGAAAATTTCGAAGATGAGCTCATGAGAGATCAGTTTATTGCTGGTCTAGTGTCAGAACAACTTCGTGTCAAACTAATAGGAAAAGGACATCGGCATAGGGACGGGGATCGAAGTAAAGTTTCTTTACGTGAAGTGGTCGAAATTGCCAAGGCATATGAAGCAACGACAATAACAAATAAGTTGATGAAAAATGCTAGGGAAAGTCAACAAGAGCAAGTAAATTATTCAAATAGCCAACGAAGGCAGCCGGTGAACCGTGACCGTCGTGATTTCACAATACCACAGCAAACAATAACGTGCTCTTATTGCGGTGTTCAACATAAACAACCTTGCCCTGCTTTTAGAAAGCGATGTAACAAATGTGGAGTGATTGGACATTTCGCAAGAGTTTGTAAAAGTGAACGAAGTTATTACAAGCGCGAGGAAAAAGCTAACCAAATTCAAGATGAATTAAACGAAGAACTATTTGCCGTGGGGAGCAATAAAGACAATTAAAATGGCAGTGCAAAGAAATTCTTTGCTAATTTAACATTGCTTAAGAAAAGAAAAAATCGAGTGATTAGAGCTCAAATTGATTCGGGAGCTACTTGCAATACAATGCCGTTAAATTGGTTGCGGAAGAATTTTCCGGGATGTAAATTAGGAAGGACTTTGGCAACAATATGCACATATGGAAATCAGAAAATTGCACCCAAAGGACAAGTTACATTATGTTGTGAAGCAAAGGGGAAATTCCACTTATTAGACTTTCTGGTCGTTGATGTGGCGGAAGAGAAGCCAGCATTGTTGAGTGGTTGCGATGCACAGAAGATGGGGTATTTGAAGATTTATGCTGACGAGGTTCAAGCAGTTGATGTTGAAAGTGAAAGAAAAGGGAACGACCTTCCTCCGTTGGGGCAGCTAACCAAAGAATCGATTATTACGCATTATGGGGATGTTTTCAAGCCAGGAAGGGGAAAACCTCTCGGCGATCCTTTGCATATCGAAGTTGATCCAAGTGTTAAGCCAGTACAAAGCCCACGAAGAAGAATCCCCGTAGCCAAAATGGAAAGAGTAAATAAGGAATTGGAAAGATTGTGTGAAGAAGACACGATAGCTCAAGTAACGCAGCCCACAGAATGGTTATCTAATATGTTGGTGAGAGAAAAACCAGACGGGAGAATCCGAATTTGTATAGATCCAAGTCGGACTGTAAATAAGGCAATAAGAAGACCTGTCTACACTATACCAACTATTGAAGAAAAATTGCCTTTTCTGACAAGTGCTAAAGTATTCACAGTGGTGGATGTTTCAGAGGCATTTTATAATATTGAATTGGATTACGAATCGTCACTATTAACAACTTTTCAGGGTCCAAACGGACGGTATCGATATAAGCGAATGCCTTTCGGCATCTCATCAGGTCCTGAGGAATGTCAAAGAAGACAACAAGAATTCCTTGAAGGGTTGGACGGTGTTATAAATATAGCAGATGATATATGTGTTTTAGGACGGGGTGACACAAAGGAAGAAGCTAATATAGATCATGATAAAAATCTCATCGCTTTGTTAGATAAATATAAAGAACAAGATCTTAGGTTGACCGTGAAAAATGCAATTCAAGTCCACTACAGACAGTAACCTTTATGGGACACAAATTAACTGATCAAGGAATTTGCCCAGATCCGGGAAAGGTTAGCGCAGTTCATGAGATGCCAAGACCTCTTGATAAAGTTGGGGTACAGCGTTTTTTGGGGATGTGTAATTATTTATCAAAATTTTCTCCAAATCTAAGTGCAACAGTGTTGCCGTTAAGGAATCTAGTCAAGCAGAACGTTGAATTTAATTGGTCAGATTCGCAAGAAAATGCTTTCAACGCAGCTAAAGATCTTATTGCACCAAGCACAAATTTGCGTTATTATGACGTTAAACTTCCAGTTACGTTACAAGTGGATGCGTCGGATGAAGCTATTGGTGGGGTACTTATGCAAGAAGGAAAACCAGTTTGTTTTACGTCACACACTTTAACAGATACAGAAAAACAATATGCGCAGATTGAAAAAGAGTGTTTGGCTATCATGACAAGTATGAAGAAGTGGCATCAGTATCTCTTTGGTAAACATGACATTATTGTGCAAACGGACCATCAACCTTTAGAAATAATTTTTAAAAAGCCACTTGGTAAGGCACCTCGAAGGCTTCAACGGATGATGCTTCAACTACAGCAGTATAATTTTGAAGTTGTGTATAAAAGAGGGAAAGAACTTTATGTTGCAGATACTTTGTCACGGGCAGCATTAAAAGAAAATTGCGCGGTGGAGTTGGAGTCAGAAATGGTATTTCGAGTTGAGCTGGAGCAGATGGGTTTAAAACCTGCCATGATGTCAGACTGTACGTTAAATAGAATGAAAGAAGAGACCAGAAAAGACCAAACGTTGAAGTGTTTGTTGGAAACGGTACGAAAAGGATGGCCATCGGATAAATTAATGGTTCCACCGTGTATCAGACAGTATTGGTTTTTCGAGAAGAAATTACGCTTTACGAAGGGGTTCTTTTGAAGACGCATCAAGTGATTGTACCAACAGTGTTGAGGAAAGAAATGTTGGAAAAGATTCACAAGTCTCACCAAGGTGCTGACAGTAGTATACGTCGAGCTCGAGAAGCACTGTTTTGGCCCGGAATGTCAGCTAATATTCGTCAAATGTCTGAAGCTTGCGGAATTTGTGCTCAATTCCAAACGGAACAACCGAGAGAGCCTATGAAATCGCATGAGATTCCTAAGTTACCCTGGTCAAGAATAAGTGTGGATTTATTTCAATTAGCTGGTAAGAACTATTTGGTTATGGTTGATCATTATAGTGACTTCATTGAACTTGATCACTTGAAAAACACTACGGCTAATTCTGTAATTAAGGTGATGAAAAAGAACTTTGCAAGGCATGGAATTCCAAGTGAATGCGTTAGTGACAATGGTCCTCAATTTGACAGTTCGGAATACAGATCTTTTGCGAGAGAACATGGTTTTACACCGGTTAAGTCGTCTCCGTATTATAGTCAAGGGAATGGTAAAGCAGAATTAATCGGCTGTGAAGGTTGCAAAGAACATATTAAAAAAATCGGACAACGAAGATCCTTACTTGGCATTATTAGCTTATCGCAATACTCCGCAACAAGGATACGTATATTCTCCAGCTGAAAGATTAATGGCACGGAAACTAAAGGATAATATTCCAATGTTACCGTCTCAGTTAAAACCACGGTTAGTTGACAGTAAAATTGTAAGAGAGGACATAATGAAGAGAAGAATTCAATCAAAGATTCAATATGATAAAAAAGCGTCACGTCCATTGAAAGATTTAGCCGTCGATGATCGTGTTTACGTGAAGCCTAGGCAAAAGCGTAACCCTTGGATTTATGGGAAAGTCATCGAAAGGCCTGATGAAAGGTCGTGTGTTATGCAAACGCCATTAGGATTAGTTCGCCGAAATCGGAAGCATATCAGAAAGATTAAAGGGGAAAGTTCAGAACATCAAGTACGTAATGAACAATTCATGGATATTGTTTCTTTACCGGATATTGATAGTGACGTGACTAGTAGCAGCAACAACACGGTTGATCCTGATGAAGAAAGGGCTGGAAATGCAGAACAGGTATCCGGAGAAGATCTCGTGTCACTAAGAAGATCTGAGAGAGTTCGCAGACCACCATTAAGGTATCAGGACTATACAGTATAATAGGATCAATCATTAAATCATGAAAACTATATTGTCCTATATAAATTGACTTTTGGATTGAAGCTTTAAATAACTGAAAAAATAAAAATTCTGCATTAATTTAGTTAGAGTTAATGAACTTTACCTGTAAGAACAATATGACAATAGTTAATTATTTTAACTGTTTTTTCGTAAGGAGAAAGATGTTAATAGTTACTTATGTTGCATGCTAATTAGGTTTTATTATTATAATTATAAGGAACATGTTTGTGCTATATGCAAATTATCTCTAGGTATTATATAAGGACCTTGCTTGTAAATAGATTCTTTATGTTATTAAACTCATACACAACTTAACACACGACATCTAGGGAATAGAGCTGTTCATAATCATTATGGTCACGAACATACATGCACCTTGAGTCTGCGTAATCTTGGCCGCCATGAATTACCCAACCGAAGGTCGTTCCTTCTACAATTGGATCCTCTGAGGCCCGGTTTAGACGGCGAACTTTTCATGCGCAGAATCTAATTGTCGTAGATACGGCAAAATATCGCCGGAAGCTGATTTAGACGTCTAACTTAATCACTGTACCGTACCAAATTGCGAGGACACGATATTGGACATATTTACAATGCAAATATATGATAATCATATTATGATGTTAAAAAATAATTATGCATTAGGTTCGGCGCATGAAAAGCACGGCGTCTAAATCAATGTCGAACCTGTGTCGCATATACGACTTGTCTTGTCGCATCTTCGAGTCATGTCGAACTTAATCAAAACCTGTCGAACTTAATTGATTTAGACGCCGCTCCAGCGTCGCACTTAATTCTTGCATTAGATTCGGCGCATGAGAAGTTCGCCGTCTAAACCGGGCCTGATTTTCCCTTGTATACAGTACTTGACCAGTCCGTGTTTTGCAATAGGTAGCATCGCCCAATATGACATGGATGGGGTACTCTTCGCTTTCTGACCGATAGAATGTCTTCTCGCGAAGATGCTCGCATTTTTCCTTTAGCTCTATGAAAGTCGGTCTTTTCACAGTTGTAAAATCTAGCATTTCTGCACCAGTAATCTCGATATTCTCACTTATAATTGATGCCAGTGTTACTTCAAACACTGGCATCGATGCCTTTTTGGACCCGTTTACAGTATAAGATGTTTCTACTCTCATGGCGCTGCGGTGATAGTCTTAATTGTCGCACTGCTTCCTTCGAGATGAAATTTCTCCCAGAGCCCGTGTCGAGATACACCCAAAATGTCTTGCCCTTAATTTTAAGTGGCACAATAGCTGGTAAAGACTTCTCTTCAGAGGATGGGGAATATCCACTTAACATTGCGTTGTGGTTTTCTCGATTATTGTTTTCCTGCAGTTTATCACAAAGGCTAGTGTGATGTTTGCCCTTGCACTTGTAGCACCCTCTACTGCGACATTTACTTTCGCGGTGGCCTGGTCGACCACAATTAAAGCACAGTCGTTTTTCAACAAAGAACTGTCTACGCTTAGTCACAGAGTCATATGATGTGTATTGGTCTCCCCAGTGCTGTACTTCACAATAAAACAGACCGGGCCCTTGCCTTTACCATTTGTAAACTCTCCCCCCTTTTGGCTATACCAGTTTCGCTCCCTCTTTTTTGCGTTTTTCTGCTCCTTAGTTGGTACCTCTTCTGTTTTGTTACGCTTTAACCACCCCTGTAATGCTGATAACAATTGTTTCATGTTCCAGTCTTCCCAATCATGATCATCATCACTACGTACTAAATCAGGCTTAACCTGGGGGAGTTTATTTAAGGTAGATACCACCAACCCTTTAACATAGCTTCTTCACCCAACGTTTGCAGTGCGTCATAGTTTAACCGCCTTTAGTCTAGTCTCTGTCCCGAATTAGTAAGATATGCTCGTATAGACTAAGACCAGGTTTAATTTGTAAGTAAACTGTTACGGTTAAAGTTTTATTTTGGAGGGACAAATTTAAAATTGCTACGTCGCAGAACACTGATCTGAGATCAGTCATCTACAGGCAATGATTACAGTAATTGTCTTATCCACAAATATCCCAGATTTTCAGTATTTGATCTCCAGAAATAAGAGGCCAATCTCAAGAAATTTTCTATCAGATCTCCAGATTCGTTGCTGTTGGAGGTTGGCAGGTCTGTGAAACTGACCACACCCAAAAATGACGCTCTCGCCATAGTGCTATCTACCAAACCATAAAAGCTTTGGCTACTCTGAGGTGCTTATATGGTTCAGAGATGGTGCTTTTAGGGGTGGTCATTGGTAAGTGTGAAATGCCTAGCACTGATATTTCACAAGAAAATGACCATGCAATACTCATAGTCAAACGTCAATTTGTGACTTACAAATTCAGATAAACAGCAGAGGACCTACATTACCTTTTTTCCTAAATCATTTTTATAGAAACACAATTGGTGCTTATTTAAGTATATTATCACTGCTTTGCTTTAAAATAGTTAATACTTTGTGACCGAAATAATTATTTGAAATGTACTTGCTTCCTGCGAATGGACGTATTTGGCCAAATTCTCCACTTTACTCCGCTGTTTATCGCCAATCTCGTTGAAATCCTTCCAAATATGTACGGCAGCTCAGATATAATGGTATCAAGCACATTTTAAACAAGTCTTAAATAGGTTTCAAGCAGATCCTAGCTGTTTAACCATCCACAAGGTAAAACCACAACTTTGTCCAATTCGGCGCCATTTTGTCATCCCATGTTGGTTGTCAACAATTCGGCCTTGTTATTCTTCCATCCAACCCATTTTGATTCCACTAATAACAAATTGAACCCTTTGTTAAGGGTATCAAAATAAATATGTAAACTAAATATAAGAAATGCAGCATTTTATCACCCTGTAAAATGTCGCTTACGAGTCTTTCTAAACATTCCGTACAAATCTCGCGTGCCAAAGCAACAGGGGGGAGGGTGAATTTTGTCACGAAGATAGAAGAAGGCTGCGTGAAACGGACTAAAAACTAAATACAATAATACAAACGTTTGTTATATTTCTTGTAGCGACAATATGAATATGTCATACTATAAATTAAATGTTGATTGTTGGTCTTACAACACTGCTATTACTGCGTGCTTTTGCTTTGCTTTAATCTTCAAAGTCTCCACCCCACCCTGTTGCTTTGGCACGCAAGATTTGTACGGAATGTTTTGAAGGACTCGTATAAGCAACATTTTACAGGGTGATAAAATGCTGCATTTTTTATATTTTGTTTTCATATTTATTTTGATACCCTTAACAAAGGGTTCAATTTGTTATTAATTAATGAAATCAAAATGGCTTGGATGAAAGAACAACAAGGCCGAATTGTTGAACAACCGACATGGGATGACAAAATGCCGCCGAATTGGACAAAGTTGTGGTTTTACCTTGTCGATGGTTAAACAGCTACGATCTGCTTGAAACCTATTTAAAACTTGTTTAAAATGTGTTTGATATACCATTATGTCTGAGCTGCCGTACATATTTGGAAGGATTTCAACGAGAATGGCGATAAACAGCGGAGTAAAGTGGAGAATTTGACCAAATACGTCCATTTGCAGGAGGTAGGTACATTTCAAATTATTATTTCGATCACAAGGTATTAACTATTTTACAGCAAAGCAGTGATAATATACTTGAATAAGTACCAATTATGTTTCTATAAAAAATATTTAGAAAAAAGATAATGTAGGTCCACTGCTGTTTATCTGAATTTGTAAGTCACAAATTGATGTTTGACTACGAGTATTGCATGGTCATTTTCTTGTAAAATATCAGTGCTAGGCATTTCACATTTACCAATGACCACCCCTAAATGTACCATCTCTGAACCATATAAGCACCTCAGAATAGCCAAAGCTTTTATTGTTTGGTAGATAGCACTATGGCGAGAGCGTCGTTTTTGGGTGTGGTCAGTTTCGGACGTTTTGCCCCAGATTGAGGTTCGGGCAACGTTACCATGTCGACCGTCATGGTCAACTTGCACTAAAACAATTGACATTATCTGTCCTAAATGAAATGCATACAAACTCATATACACGTCCTAGACTATAGCGAGCTTTCGGTTTTTGAGCAATAGCTTTTAACGGTCTGCCATAGATCTGATAGCCAAAAGCTTCTCATCAAAAACAATTTGGTCTGAGATCGCTTGAGCCCAAAATTAGTTTGAATTTTCATTGAAATCAAAGGACTCCTTTAAGGTGTAGACTATACTAAATTATTATATACACAAGGTCTGGATATGAGGTACTCTACAATCTGATTGGTTCTCTACTAGCAGGATATTAGCTCATATCCTGCTAGTAGAGAAAAACAAAATGGCGGCCAAACTGAATTTACGATGTTTTGCAAACGAGAAAACGGCAAGTTGTCGCTTTTTATAGCCTTCACAGGATTAAAAACACAATGAAAAAAACACCCACAAATTGTTTTCAGGTTAGCAAATAAATTTTTAATATTTAAAATGGTTAAAAATATAATTTTTGAAAAAATAATCGGCCGAAAGAGCGAAGATAAAAACATAAACAAAATAGAAAAATATTGAAAATATTCGAAAAGCAAAGTCTGTGAATTCAGACCTTTTGTATATAATAAAACAGTTATTCCACTCACTCTCATCGAATATGAGCGATAGCCGATTCGGCGCTACGCGCCTCATCGGCTATCAGCTCATATTCGACTCGAGTTCGTAGAATAACTGTTAAATATACCCGAATGAAATTGCAATGAATGAAAATACTAATAGACAACTTGCATCTAATACAAACAAAATAAAAAAAATTGCAAACTTTGCAAGGCCGCTATATTTTCCAAGCTTTAGCCTATATAATTTTGCAACCAAATTTTGCAATTTTACTAATTTTATTATGTTCTTTTAGCTGTGGTATTTGACTCCCTTCTCTTTACTTAGTATAAGACTTATAGATTAAAATTTAGTCCAACATGCAAGTTGTCCATTATATAACTAATATAAATCTAATTGACAATACATGATATCTAATTATCTATAGTTGCGCAAGAAACTCTTAAATATTTGATATAGTATATCAATCTTAATTCCTCACCATGTATAAAGGTTTAGACTGCGAGCGGTCCCTCCTTTCCAGTTATGGTGGAAATGCTTCTAATAATACGCTACAATTACCATTAACAATAAATCGACTCATACAAGATGCCATACAACGAGGCCCGTTGATGGATGCTTACTTGCAACTTAATAAAACGTTTTTTGAACACGTAACATTTAGTGACATAGTAAAAAAGCTTGATTATAAACCTCTCCCTCAACTAAAGAAAAGTCTAACCGGAGTGATTATAGTTGGACTAGCTGCAATAATCCATGGTTTGACTGTCGACAAATTTCTACAGCCAAGCAAATGGACAATAATTATGTCAGTAGAAGAACTGGCGAATGTTCCAAACAATATCACTCTGCCTCTAAATGACAAAGTAGTTTTAATCACAATTCAAGAGGCGATGTTTAAAGTCTTGGAGAAAAGATTTAACTTCAAGACTGAAGAAATAGCGGAACATTTAAATACCACAAAAGATGAAGTACATGCGTTTTTGGAACCAGGATGGATCAAGGTTGTTAATATTATCACGGAGAAAAGTATTTTAGCGCTATCAAGAAATTACACAATTCCACCATTTTACATTGCTGAAGCTCTCAACATGTCGTTACCAGAACTTTACAACTCAACACTGCCACAGCTTGAAGATATACTCGTGAATAAAATTAACATCATCAAAGGTTTGTACATGTTTTCATCACAGCATGCAGTATAATCAGCAACTAATTTGTTTGGGTATTTAGTTGAGTTTTGAAGGTTGATCTTCTCTATCATTTTATATACTCGAATGAAATTGCAATGAACGGAAACACTTATCGACAACTTGCATGTTAGACAAATTTTTATCTAGGAAAAAAAGTAATACAAACATATACCAAATTTGCAAACTTTGCAATTAAGGCTATATTTTCCAAGCTTCATATCATTTTGCAACCAAAGTTTGCAATTTTACTAATTTTATTATGTTCTTTTTAGCTGTGGTGTTTGATTCCTTTCTCTTTACTTAGATTAAAATTTAGTCCAACATGCAAGTTGTCCATTATGCAAGTTGTTTCGATCCAGGTTTTTAAAAACGACTTAAATTTATACTTGGAGCTCTCTCGTGAATTTTCACGTTTTCATACGCCCATATACATCAAGTCGATTAATAGAAAAAATAAATTATGCAGCGTCAGCAGTAATTGACATGCATAAGCCATATAACTCGACGCAGACTACTGATCAGTACACTTCACTCTAATTCCTAAAACAGACACTATAGTTAAAGCGAAAAACAAACTATTAGACTTAGTTTTAACACCAGCTTGCCCCCACTTTTAATTCTTTCTGGGCTGTATGGAAAACGATAGCTATCTCAGTTAAGTCTTAGACTTAGTTTTACCATGCAACTTTAGAAATGTTCTGCCAATTCAATATGCTACAAAAGGATCAGACTCTCTATTGCCTGGGGAGAACCAGCCATAGGTTATCATGAGTTTGGTCGTATGTAACCTACCATGTACATA